CAGTATTGAAACTTTCTGGAACATTCTATCTAGATTTTTCAATGCGTAAGTACAAATATTTATCTAACCCTGGACTCCTCCACAGAAAAATTGTCGAATGTTCTCAAACAGTATCAAGTAACAAAACCCGAAGATCGAATTACCAAAAAGAGGGCCCTACGCTGTTAACTGCAGAATAGCTCCTACTCCCACACCTTTCTGGCTTAGGTGGCACAAGGGATGAATTGATGTCATTGCAGTGCTGACCGAAGGTCCAAGAGTTCGAGACCCCACGGTGGAAATATTACCGACGCTAGCTAAATAGCTAGCAATTGCCGGAGCAGGACCCTAAGGCAGGACGGGCTAGGACCGCGCGCGATCTTTGCTGCTCTTCCTTCTCCTATCCTCACCCCTTACTTACACGCACTTACACTAACACTACCCCACTTGCCAGAAGACCAGTTATGAGCTTAGAGCTTATCCCGACTGGGGCGGTGCCCCTCTTGCAGGAGATACCTGGTTGTAGAAAACCCCGCTTGCAGACATGTATGTCAGTGCCGTATCTCACCATCCAACGGGAGAAAATAGCCACCACCTCCCGAGGGGAGGGGGAATGCGCCACACTTACGGGAATAATAATACTCGCTCGGCAACACGAAACAATCAATACCAATGAAAAGGCCACACCTTGCCCCCTCCGAGAGCCAGCAACGAGCCTCCTTTGTGCACTCCAACCCGCCGACGAGCGGGCGAGAGCCCCCGGGCGGCGCTGAGAGGGGAGGGCGGTCGCACAGCGTGTGTCCCCCAAATCCCGCAAACGGGAGAGTCTGGCTGCGGAAGAAACAACAGTCTCGCTAACGGACACGTCCCTTCGTGGGCGAGCGCTTGATGAACCGTATGTGCTCGCATTCATTTCGCTGCCCTTCGCATGCGCACATTGCCGTCTCGCCTTTGCCGAGTTTACACGAGCTTAGTACTCGTCACTTGGTGCAAAGCTACTTAGTTAAAAGTGACGTTAAGAATTAAGGAAGAAACGAGTAGCAAGTAAAACTTATCCATAGTCTGAAACTTTCGATTTCTATCCAAAATTATCGGTAAAGAATTCACGCTACCTGATTTCATAATTCAAGTTAATATGTTAGTATATGAGTTAGGACAGAGATTGCAGAGCTCACGAAAGTGTGCACAGATTGCCCATACCACTCCCCCCAAAGAACGTCTTATAGTTTTCTCTGTTTTTGACGTTAAATAAACAAATTCAAGGTGTGATTTAAAAATGGGTTACCATTGCTGCCGCGTTTTAAAGTATATGTTGTAACACTAGTATTCCAATGTTAATTCATTATCGTTGATAGAAGAACTTGAAAGTGAAGTAAATAATTGTGAAAAGGACATAGTATTAAGCTTAACTTGTAACAGAGTTAGCAACAGAAGATTTAAGTGAATACGTAATGTTCATGGGTATGGCAACCGTTCAGGGTGTTTTGTTGGAAAAAGTTACTGCGGCGATTTAATGAGCATACACTAAAATGAGAGGCGCAACACAAGCCAATAATTACAGATTAAGGGTATTTTCAGCATCAGAAATTAGCAACTGCTCCTTAGCACAATTCTCGCAAGCGCAAGCATGGCTAGTATAACTCAGTGAACTAAAAAACTTACTTTGTGCCTCACATCCTTGCCAGAATTGCGGTGGGGATAGCTACCTCGCCGCTTAGTAAATAAGTCTATCGACTTGCAGTTGCCACATTTATTCATTCTTGCTACTAAACCTTTTATTTACACGTGGGTACACGTGCGAGTGACAAGTATCAAGCTTATGTTAACATCGTTAATAGTATGACACTGATCTCTCCCGACTTAAACACAAACTCGTAGTTTCTAAAAAATAATAATAATAAGCACGATTTGAGAAGAAGATTCGAACCGAAGCAAGTCATAAAAACGCCCAGTTCAGGAGTGTAGTATGACTTAGCCATCTTAGCTTTATCGACTTTTCAGGAATTAGAAAACTTGCTTCTGGGTTGCATTGAGGATGTTTTTGTCTGTGGAGGGTACAAAATTCGCGATATAATGATATTTGAACTAATAAAAAACAGTTGAAGCCCACTATTCTTTTTTTGGAACAGTGGACTTAAATAGGTTCATAAGACTGCACAGACTGAACGTTAGTAATGATTACAATGTTACAGACCGAATGTTAGTAATGGTAGTTTAGTATAGTAATTTTTGTTTAGTATGGCTACGACGTTCGTTGCTACGTCGTCGTTGCTGTGGGCAAGCTTGTTAAGTGGTGGAGTAGTCACATCAGAGGCGTGTGAATTTCTATGAGACTGGTGTAATGCCACTTCGCCACGCTGACGATACCAGAACAACCAATCCCCATCGCAAGCATCGTACCGTACCGTATACGTGAAGGAGGAATCACTCACAAGAATCCGTCCCAAAAATCAGTCGCCCATTCATAGTTAATTATGCAAATATTTATTTCGTTGTATTTTTATATTTCACGTTAAAAGAGAAACGCGCGTTAATGATTAAAAATTATGTTTATAAATGTATATTGTCGCATGTATATTGTCTAAAATCCTAGAATCGAATACTTAACTTGATAATCACATTTCAATGGTGTATTATGCGCAAATACTTTGAAATGTTGAAGTCGAAATAAAATTATTAATTTCTTTTTGATTTTCAGAACTACTAATTTTGAATAAAAAGGTATATTCTACCTGATTTTTTACTGCAAAATTGTAGAATTACTTAAATATTAAAGTAACATTTTAATGATTTTTTTAACGAACCCGTAAACTGAAATATCGGATTCAGATTGTTTTTTGAATAATAATAAAACGAGAAAGATTGCATTTGCGAAGGTAAAAGGCAAATGTTGAGAATCACTTTCCTTCAAAATTAAATCATTTCAAAAACATATTCCCGCCAACTTCCCAGCATTTATTATGAACAAAATGAAACTTTCTGTCACTTTTTTTATCATGTGTAGAAGCAACACAAATTGAAGGTGGCAGGCGCGAAATATTGTGGCCCTGCAATATACATTCATTATTTTTAATATCCACTTACGAAATAAAGGAAAATAAACAGAATGTATATTTGGTCAAATTAATATTAACTCATTACGTATAGAAATATTACCGCATAAGAATTATACAGTAATCCTGTAGAGAGAAAGAAACAAACACCTCCGAGAGACAGTGTTTCAATAATTGGAACATACTTAATAAGGTGCATCTAAAATATAAAGAATGAAGTAACAGCAGTCGGATTACGCAACTATTGGATTGAAACATGTGTGTAAAGATTTTTGAGTCCGGCTTGAAACGAGTTTCTTAATTAAGTTCACAGCAAATGTTCATCACTGAATGGCTACATTTTCTGTCGTGGTAAGAACGTGGTTACAAAATAATTATGCTTTTTTTCTATAACGAGCATTTGTGCAATATTTTAGAAATGGAATCATAACTAGGATTCCTGGGTTAGAGCATTTGACGAAAATATCGCATTACCTCTAAACAGATATAGATATGAGCATGAATGTTAATTTTCACCTGACGCATTCTCCATCCTGTAATAGAACAGGGTGGAGAATGCGTCAGGTGAAAATTAACATTCAGATGTTTTTACTTTTGAATTACCTGTAGAAATTAATCGTTTCTCTCCATCACTATATTTGTAACTGGCGGTTCGTCAATTCTCATCTTCACTTTTTCCCAAATCGGTTTTCAAGTATTATTTTATGTGGTTAAAAATGATTTACGAGTAATACGTGCCCGGGCTCCGCAATAACCAATTTCCCATAAACTCTCAAGTAAAAGAACAGTAATTTTGAAAATATTTTATTCAGTTACCGTATTTTTTTATTATTCAACTGTGGAATGAAAAAATACTTAGATTTGACACGATTTTTAATAAATGAATAACAGACGAGAACTGTATCGAAGTCAGAAGAGGATTTCTCTCGCAATTTGGGAATTTAATCACGAACTCAGGAATGACGCGTTTCGCACGTGCACGTTCGAGAAAAGCGGGACGCGTTGAAAAAGAAAGGCGCTAACAATCTGGAATCTGTGAGCCGAATCATTGTAAAATAGTGTTGTAAACATATTATAGTATTCATCTTCCAATACACAACATTGACAATTTTTCGAGTTCATTGTGATTTATAGAATACAGATAAATTCATTATTAATAATAGTTTTCTCTCAAATAAAACCAAAAATATTACGGTACCGCAAAAGTACCATTATTAAGAGACTTCCAAGTGTAGAAAAAGTAAAGGAATGTAACACTGCACATAGGTACCAATGATACCACAAAATCTGTAAAAACAAAAGATGAAATACTTACATGATAATTTGGAGATAATTACCTGAAGCGTGAACGACCGTAAATCCAATCTTGTGAGGCATTGTTGCAACCAACACTCAGTCAATTCGATAAAATGATAATCCAAAAACTGCACTTTTCACAACAGGTAGAAACGCAAAGAATGCATAAAACCTCCCTCGCAAGTCCCTTTTCTTGCCATGAAATGTTACTGAATTCCAAAATACATGCAACATTATTTCCACTCAACACTGGACATTAGCGAGTCTTGCCCCCGAGAGGGACGCAGCCGGGTTCCTCACCACATTACCCTAGGAACACGAGAACCTCTCAGTCAGAGGCGGGGAACAATCATGTTCGACACAAAATGACACTTTCCACTTGAGTTTCATTAGCTGCATAATGAAACACAGCAGATATCCTGAGGGGGTGCAATTAAAGAACAGAAAAATATTTGTAACAGAGAAAGAAATTGTCTATCGGTGAGAAATTGCTTTTAACAGGAACTGTCATACAGCTTTACTTCGAAGGGACTATACAAGATCAATAAACTGACGCAGGGAGATGTGCAAAGCGCTACTAAAGGACAAACTCCGTACTAGCACATTGTAAACAGAAGCATGTCTTTCGAATCGTCACAAAAATACGTCCATTTTTACTCGTGCCGTGTCAACATGTTTGGTCTATTTCCCGACAGAATATTGAAAAACCAAGAAGAAATTCGTATGCATCTGACACTTCAGGTCTTCCAACACCGTTAGAGGTTAGGTTATGCCACCAACCTAAGAAACAAAATTCGTAAAGAATGTGAGGAGAATGTCGCAAGTTAAAAAGATAAAATCAAAAGTTATCGATAATTTTATATTGAAATAAGTGAAATTCAATGCATATTACATGACGGTTTCAGAATACTCCAGGAGTAATAAAAATCCGTCTCGTCTAAATGTATTGTTTTTGTTGGTATTACAGCCAGCGCATGTTGACAGCTAGGTTATTACCATATGACTGTGTGTGCTGATTTTCTACATTGCAAAAATGTGAACATGTAAACTTCGTGATCTGTTCCTGTCGATTTCCATCATTCTACTGCAAATGACTTTGAATATCACGAAAAGTGTCATTAGAAGATACTCTATATTAAATATTAAGTCATGAGAAAAAGCTAACCCCTTCTATTTACATGCCAATTTCATAGTGTTAGACGAGGTAAGTTCCTTTGCTTGTGTTAGAATCAACCTAAAACTGGCTTATAACATTTGTGAATTTGATAACGCGATCCTTAAACCTTTACACTCTGTTGTGGTCGCTAATGGAGAAATAATTAGGGTTACCTAATTCTCATGCTAATGAATAGAATTTACACTCCATACCCCACAAGTCTTGTGATACATACAGACATGTATAAGAACGGTTATAATGTTAATCATAAGCGAAAAGGCTTTTTGGCCAAATCCAAAATATTTCGATTTGGTTAGTCTTACTGATCACTAGAGTAAAACATTGTGAAACAATATTTATTAGTTATAATCATACATTGCAATTTCTTTTGTTTTGATTTCAGGTCGCCCACATTTTCATGGTAAAAAATCCCCATTTGCCTCAAAAATGGGGAAAACTGCAAAAGTTGTTGTATTTGGTTTAAAGGGTGTTGGAAAGACTGCAATTCTTGAGCAGTTAATTTATGGCAATGTCACCAAAGCTACAGTAAGTTTCATCCATTATTTCCTTTTTCAAGTATTACTGTATGTAATTTGTGAAGTTTATGTATATCAACAGCATTAGCACAAACACAGAATAATTATCTGTACATACAAGCATTAGTACTATTTGCTTATTTTGTTTGTTGTTTTCTCAAGGAATTACATTCCACAATTGAAGATATATACATTGCTAATATAGAGACTGATCGTGGTACAAAAGAGAAAGTTCGGTTTTATGATACTGCTGGTCTAGACCATCCACATTCAATAAATCAGATTTCAAGAGATCAGTCACACGTAGCAAGGCAATACTTTGGACTTGCTGATGGATACATTTTGGTTTATGATACGGATCGACCAGAATCACTTGACGTACTAATATCTTTAAAGAAGGAAATTGACAAAAATAGAGATAAAAAAGAAGTAAGTATTTGAACTGCTCATAAAAAATATTGAGAAACAAAAGTTTTTCAGCTAGATGTAAACGTTCAATGTACAATATTTCTGACAAATTACTTTTTTTTGTAATAATGCACTAGTTTACATTGAAATTCAACTGGTATTTCAAGTTGAGGGGACCTGAGACCATATTAAGTGAAATTAATTAAGTTTTATTCATTAATTTGAGTGATCATTTAGTAAAACTAAGGAGGATTTGGGTGTTTTAATTACATTAAAAGACATTGTTCATTTTAGGCTAATTGTAATATTTTGAGTCATTCAGCGTAAGAAATTCTATTGATTGCTTCTTTGCAGGTCACTCTCATCATTTTAGGTAATAAAACTAAACCAATGGATGTTGGATGTCTTGAAAATACTGCAAGTAAGGCATCACATTGGGCAATGAGAGAAAAAGTAAAACATTACGAAATTAATGCAATGGATAGAAATTCTTTGTATGAACCGTTTGTTCACCTTGCTTCACGATTGAATCCTCCACCCAACAAGAGTTCATTTCCTCAACTCAGCATGGTAAGGAAAACAATAGGTAGGCCTGATTCTAATTGATAGTCATCTATTGTATGAAAAGACAGTGCAATATTGTTTACTCTGTTTTCATTTTGTTGTCAATTTAACCATTTTTCAAATTACGATTATGTATTGCATTAAGAGAAAAAGATTCTAATGCAAGAATTAATAGAATTGTTTTCCTTTGGTGTTGTACTTACATTACTTAGTACAAACATATTAACACTCATTACTTTTGCCAAATTTTACACATTTTACCGAAGAAAACCGTTTTTGCATTTTTAGATGAATTTCAATGCATATAAACAAGTTTTGAACAATTACCTCTAGGTAAACTATTATTTTAATTCATTTTCATTGACAACCTAAGTGTTCATTCTTTTGTGAAAGAGAAATTATTTCCTTTCTGTGAATTGATTTCACTGGTAATTCAATTTACACATACTAAAATTTTCTTTTTCCTGCGACCCCTATCTGTTAAAAATAATTAAAGATGTGATCAATAAAATTTTCACCTATTACAGCAACATACACTTGGATATTTCATGTTAAATTTCTTGTGTTGTTTACTTATTGGTTATGTATCCAGGGGTATTTAGATTTTATTCACTAGTGTAAAATAGCACCTGCTGCTTTTGTCACTTGAGAGGCCAAACTTTTTCACTTGTGAATATAATCTTACTGTACTCTTATGTACCAAAATTATTGTTATACACAACTTGAGGATAATGAATATTGTAATCATGTAAGATCTGAAAGAAGTGTCCTTAAGTGAAAACTCATCTGCAACCTTGCCTAAAACGAACACTACAAACTTTGTTAATTTGAATATGTGATTTGAATGCAGGACCAATGGAAATTTGTAATTACTCAGTTTTTTGTAACAGGCATTCAAGTAATACGTTAACAAAGAAAATAAGCCTTTGCATTATATTTGTTTCAATTACAATATTTATTACTTTGTCAGAATTTATCTGTGCAACATAAGAAACCCAATTTGACCTATAAGAAGTAAAGAGAACAAATTGAGAATTTTTTTCATCTGTTCTCCATCGTGTAAAACATCCTGAGACCTTTATTAACTTAATTTCTGTATTCATTATGGATACAAAACGATACTGTATCAAATAAAAAGTACTGAAGAGAAAAAAGAAATGTATATTTGACTGACATTAAAACTATTCATTTCGCATTTATATTTGCAACCTTAATTTATTTGAAAAGGGAAAGACGGTTGTAAGAACATTTATTGTGATGGAATAATTGAACAATTGTACAAAAATATACTTTTTTATGATATTTGATTAACGTATTTTTCTTGTACCTTAACCAACATAATTCATGCTATATTCGAATTTTTATGTTAAATACTTTTGTGTCACCTACCACCACCTTTAAAGAAATTACCATTAAATATCTGAATCTCTTTTCTCACCAGACCTACCATTCACATTTAGATTTTGAGTGTTTTGCCTATTTTCACCTCTATGATTAACATAGTAGATTGAAATTTGAGAAGGAAAAAAAACCTTATATTTTATTTTACATCTGTCCAAACTTCTCTTGGGTAAAAACAATAACAATGCCCTTTAAAGCTTCAATTAAAAGTTTCACAAATGCACAATTGCTAAAAACTTTGAGACACCTGACAGCTACATTTGCTTCCCCTTGCTTGAGCCCCCATTAGTTTACTCTAAATTTGCGGTGAATAAAGAGAGTTCATCTTCTCTTCGCCTTTCATTCCTCTATTATGGGGCTCAATGACCTCAGTAGGTGAAGGGACTCTAAACCCCAATAAATAAAGTTTCTGATTGCTATGAAATATTTTGTATAGAAATACGTTCTTGGTATTTGGCAAATGGTACTTCAAAAGTAACTTACCAATAGTACAAAGTTCAAAAGGAGCCAGGAAATTTTTTCATTATGTCCTCGTGTGTTATGGTTCTTTTCCTATTAATTTCCTTCCTAACTGCATTATAGAGAATAATATGTTATTTTTAAAATTAATTAGATTATGGGCCGATCAGATGGCAGAGATTACTAAAGCAATAGTTTCCTAGTGGTTTCGGACCAGAAGATAGCGGGTCCGAGTTCCATCTTAGCCATGGTTGTATTTGTATATGTCTGTATGAGTGTCGTCCTTTCACCCATCATTATGATCATCATTATTTCATCTTCCATATGCCCAAGGCTAACAATTTTGGGGAATAAATATCAGATTCAGCTAAATGCTGGTCCTCAATTACAAGTTATATGCACCTGCCACCGCGATAATGATACTGAGCCATGGTAAATGCAGAATGCATGAATGCATAGTCCTAGTCAGTCAATTCGTGAGCAAAAAAAAAAAAATTAAGACTATGGGTAGCAATAATAATTTAAATAATTGTTATTATTTTATATCAACTTTTATTAGTCATTATATTCATCAGACTTAAAAAAACACACACACACTCATAATGTCATGGTTTTTTTTTCAAAATACACACTTATTACAAAAAAGAAACAACTTTTTACAAGACAGCATAAATGTCTCACAGCTAAGAATCCTATGACACTGCACCACCAGAATACTGATTTGAGAATTCAGTTTTCTGAATTTAATCATTACCTGCTTTAATACTGTTAATTAAAAATATAATACTTTATTATCTTTCAAAAATATGTTTGTATTATTTTTGTATAATAGGTACAGTGTATGGCATGCACTGACAAATGCAAGTTTCTTTCTAAGTACATAAAGATATGTTTTTGTGCAAGAGTGCTTCAAACACACTTACAAAAATGGATAGAAAATATGTTGATATATTATTAATCAAAAATAAATTAACATTTTTTTACATCCTTTTTACAGTCCAACATGTATAAGAAAGACTCTTCCGAAATCTTGAGTTTAGTAATTTTTCAACATTAATAATATGAATTCTTTTGGCTTTAAATATTTTCCCTTAAAGTATCACAATATTAGGCTCAATGACAGCAACTTTACTGGGTAATTGTACATTTTTTTTATTTGTTGATGTAGACTATAAATATGAAAATGTATTGGACATGAAACAGCAAGGTTTTGTCCATGAACCTCATTCAAAATGGCAAGTTAAGGCTTCAAAGACATCAATATCAAATAATCACACAAATATACCAGACTTATTTTTCACCACCTTAAGGAAAATTTTAGTTTCTTGAGATATATTTGGGTTCTGAATACTCTGTCCCATATGTCACAGCTTATCCCATAGCCTGAAACAAGAATGGCACATGAAACAAGTCAAGATTTGAATTAATCAGTAATAGGTGCTTCAATACTTTGTGACATTATTTTCAAATTTTTTAATTTTTTGAAACAGAAATAGGAATAATAATATAGACTATAATTAAATGTAAAGTATTTATTAGAAATTTACCATTGTCGGGCTCTGTAAAATGATGGTGATTATGATAGCGTTTCATATGATAAAAGAAAGTGTTGGGTCGAGGTGAGCCATAATGCAAGTAGAAGTGGGTCAAGTCATATACCACATAACCTGCAAAACATGGTTGAGTTATCTATCTTGGATATCAGTATTTATTATGAAGACATTATTTATTATGAAAACATTTTGAGAATAGTTTCAATAAATATATTTACCTGCCAAAATTCCAGCTACAAAGTAATGCATCATCCATAACGGAAGTATCGAATAAAATAGACAGTATAATATTACCACAACAATTGCTGCAGGGGCTGGAGGGATGAGAAGCCGGCTTTCATCAAATGGAACCTGTCAGAAGAAGCACACTGCCATTAACTTTGAACTTGGGCGCATCCTATGAATATGGGAGGCATATGAACAGACGAAAGCTTGAGGATGACATACGAATAGAATCAAAACCTTTTTATATCGTTACTTTTGTAATGCATATTTTTTGCCATGTTTAGCAGTAGCCTAATTAGTTTCATCTTATAATACCAAACTAAGTCCACTCTCATCAATCCACTTCATCTGCGACACTAGATGAACGTTGGGAGGATTAAGGTGAAAAAGATTTAGGGTAATCGTAATATATGCAAAAATTACAGTAACCTAATTTTATATCAATAAAAAAATATAAAACTTATGACTACTATCAACACTTTGTGAATTTACATATTTTTAATTACAAAACAATTACCTTGTGATGTAATCCATGCATGAGAAAATGAAATGTTATAAGTCTTGGTGATGTATCAGGTGGGTGTAAGTGAAACAACCATCTATGAATTGAGTATTCAAGTAATGTCCATACTAGAAAACCACTTGCAAAGCAAAACAATACCCACGGTGGTAAGTATGTATCTTAAAAAGAGAACAAAGGATGTTATTGGTTTTTTTACATCAATTACTTTAAAAATCATAAAACAAAAGTTTTTCATATTATTATTTTGAAACGAAAGAAAAAAAAAGCAACACATTTTCACCTTCAAAATACTGCTTAGTATCTGAATAACCTTTGTACAGTAATAGCACATCCAGAGGTATCCAGATAATTGGAATAAGGTACCATGGTGTTACTGTCATTTTTTCAACAAAGTCTGATTCAAAAAGGCGCAATTTTCTGTCAACTGGAGACTGCACCCATTCACTGTAGCGGGCACCAAGTTTTCCCACTTGCTTAAGCATAGGTTTATTCCAATCCACCAATTTCTGGAACATGCAACAAAGAATACAAATGAATGTGAATATTATAATATATTATTTAATATGTCATATGTATAATATGGTACCAACATGCATAATTATCTATTATATAAAAGTGAATGAAAATATAGTAATAAGTCACAGTCAAGAACATTTTTGTAGTTTTCTCAATATTCGTGGATTACAAAACTCAATTCATTAAGAAAAACTCAATGGGCAATTAGCATCTCTTTCTAAATACAAATTGACTAAAAATGATGAGTTTTTAATATGTTTCAATAGTGGTCACTTGGAAATTGCAAATGCTTGATAGTGGTCAGACACTCTGGCCTGAGATGACCACTCAATGTTCACCCCTGAACATGTTAGGGCCCAAAAAAAGTATCGGATCATGTTACATTATCTCAATGCCGATATTAATAATGTTCACACTTTATTCTTCAACTATTCTAAAATTAAGAGAAATAAATAAATACGTTTTGTAAACCTCACCCCTAGAAAGAGCATCCTCCACGTTCTGCAAGTGGGAAGCCACCAATTTTTGTTTTTTGGATTTTGAGCTTGGGATGGCCATTGTCGATGTGGTGACCTTTTTCGACCTTTGAAAACTTCAGAGCTACTGAGCATTTGTTTCCAAATTCTGCTGTAGAGCGACCTTGAGGGAGGGGGTTGCAACTCTAAATGTTATCTCAAATCGAGTTGTTATTAAACAAAATCGTTTACTGCGATCTGTAATACATTCAGGCATGTGCCTCACAAGCGTTACGTTGACGCGCGATAAGCAACACGCGTCGTAAATTAACACTATCTTAAGTGGAACGGCCAAAGCGCTCGTGTGCCGTTTCGCATAAGATATAGAGTTATTCTACAACGCGCGTCAACGCAACACTCGTGTGCAGCTTTTTCAGCCCGGCAATAAGTTTTTCTGCAAAAAAATCGGTGTGTTTTCCACAGCATTACAACCATTATCTCTATACTGCAAATGCAGTAGGCGAGAAAGTAAAATTAATAATTATTAATATTGTCGCGTAAAATAAAGTTCAATTGTAAATGAAGCAAGCTAACGTAAGTCATGAAGTTGAAAAATCTAGTATTTTTCCAAGATGAAATTGAAAGTTACTTTTTGTATTATAATCGGCTGTTAAAAATATCGTTTGATGAAGATGCACAATCACTATTTAGTTGAAAAATTTATTAAGTGTTGGAACACACTTTTTGCACATTTATTAAGTGTTGGAACACACATTTTGTCTGGCTGTTGCGATTGGCATTTTTGATACTCTTAAGCGAAGGAAGTTGAGTAATACTGATTATGTCTTTCAAGATGAATATAATACAAATGATATATAACTAATGATGAATATAATATTGATGTCTCCGATGACGGTACTATATTGGTAGTATTATTAGTTATTATTAGGAACGGCTTTTAATGAAATGTCTATTCCTTCTTTTACACTGTAGAACTGCCGTTTAGTACAGAAATTCATTTTATGTTAAGACAATACAAAATTGCCTATTTTTATAAGCTATTGTCTTGCATTTTTCGTCGATTATGACTAATAAGTCATTTTTAATGCATTTTTCGCTGATTTCATCAATTTTATATTATTTTAATGATACTTGCTTCAAACAATATTTAAGAGGTGCAACAAATGTTCACCACAGAACTCCTGAGTAGCCTATTCGATTTCTTCGCTCGTATATTGTGATGTCAGCTGTTGTGAGTACTCTGTAATATAAGGTTCCTGTGATCGGCGCAATTGTCAGTTCGGCCGATTTCGCTATAAATGGAGGCCGAGATTTACTTTTAAAGAACAATCCAATCCAAATGTTCGCAAGCTGAATTAACATGAAGAAACGGAAGAAACCTCTATTACATTAGTAACGTACCAAACAGCTTGAGTTGTTCATCTAGTTTTGATCCATGGTATCAATTCTGCATTTTGTTGCCCTGTGAACTGAGCGTCGTATACCTTTCATGGCGCCAATTGCCTAATTAAAATTTCTGAGTCATTGCAGCGGAGCTGTGGTGTTACCACGAACTAAGTTCGCGGCCCTGGTGGTGGCCGCTCAGCCAACGCTATGTTCGTGGTCTATGCTCCCAATCGGATTTTGTCAGTCTTCGCTGAACAGACCAACACGAGACATGCGCGAGTCGCATTGCATCTTACGCCTGGGCACGAAGCTTAGCGGCCAGCTGCACTGCGTTTCAAATCCATCGACTTTCTCGGAACAGACGTTGCCCTACGAGATTCGAGGGAGAACGAACGCAGTTTTTGGCCGCTTTTAACTGCGTGCACACCTCCGTCTGAGTGAGGCTCGGCACACAGACAAGTGTAAACGTAAAACGAAGTTTTTCCTGTCTGAAATATACATTAGTTGATAGAAGATGGTCTAATTTCTCAGAAAATAATTTTAAAATATAAATAAAATTGTAAATATTCTGACAACAAGAACACTTCTGTAACTTAGTTATTTTTGATTTCTGAAAGTATTATTTTTATTTTTTCAATGTTTGTATTTACTTTTTTTGTATTTTTATGCTAATTTAGTTTTGTGGGCGGATAATATTTGAAATGTCGAAAATGTTTTTTTTTCAACAATATGAACAAACTTAATTACAATAAGAACCTTAAAATCATAATATTTCTTACTCCATGGATGCAGTGCTCTTCAGTGGGGCATCGCCCCAGTCGGGACAAGCTCTATGTTCTCGTCTGGTCTCCCGGTATGTGGGGTTGTGAAGTGCATATGTATGTGTGAGTAAGGGGATTGGATAGGACAATGAAAGGGAACATATCGCGCGCGGTCCGTGACACGTTAAGGTACCGCTCCTGTGTTTGCCTGTACTAATCGAATAAACCACGGAGAAATACCGATCAGAGCTGCCAACCGTTCGAATTCTCCTCCAGACAGCAGATGAATTCGTCGTAGCTATTCCAGCTAGAGTCGAAAATCCGTTACTGGAAGGACTCCAACCCAAGAACCTCAACTCTACTCCGATTTAAGGCTAAATGCACCGAAAATTACCTGTAGGAAAATTCAATAGATCGCAGCACTATCACAGGGGAATTTACTTTTCTGATAACGTCTGAACCATTGGTCCGATTTTCGATCTGTAAACGGCATTTGACGCCATTTTAAAATAAAATTTACGCTTCGAAGCCTTTTTTCCAAAAATCTAGCAAAAATCCGAATTTGAAATTAGTTCTCAAACTTCCGAGAAAAAATTAAAAAATGTGGGCGTATAGCGCGATGGCGACATGCTCCCTAAATCCAACGCCGTACACTAATTCTGTAAATATCACCATTATTCCATCTTATTTTAGATACATTTGACTTCTAAGGTCTTCTGTTATCATTCCACCTTCCTCTAAGATCTTCCGTTGTCAAATAACGGAAAGAATGAGCGGAGTAGTGTCATTTCAAGTCCACAAACTGGAAATAGAGGGGAACTCTGATACGAGCCAGTCGAAGCTTCCTTACGACTTCAACGTTTGGAATAAAAGCTCCTGATTGCATGACAACCGCCCCCACTCCTTCCATCCCGTGATTCGGAAAAGGACACTATGTTTAAATCGGAGTATGCCGTGCAAGCTTGCTTCGCTCGCCGCTACATGCTGGCTGTTCTTAACACCCCATCGCCTGCCGCGTCCCCTTTCTTCACCAATGTTCACATCTTTCGCGTCCAGGATTGAAGCGCAAGAGCCGAGTTTGAAGCCAAGAGGGAGGATCGATACAGGATAGCCATGAAAGAGACGGAGGGAAGTTCTGTGGGGAGTACATCGGTTTAGCCCCGGCGCTCTATTTCCCTAATTCTGATTGACGTTTCAGTCCGCCGCTCCCGAGAAGGCCGTTCACTGGCGTCCCTTTCTACCAGGCCCTCCGCCCACCAGCACTCAATTGTGCATTCACCAAATAAAGGTCTGTCTCTGCAGGCTCGTTCCTCGGAGTACAAGACTGATCTGCTGAACAAGGGTCGTTATGAAAGACAAACAACCCTTGGAGAATACACATAAATTTTTATTTCTTAAAGTGCTGATTGAAGAGAATAAAAAATGGACATAACAGAGTCCCAGAAAATGCCTAATCGAAGCAACAAGTTTATGTCTGAAATCTATGAACAGCGTAATTATTATGAAGCGCCAAACTTGGGAGTCATGAAAAACGAAGGGACGAATCATCCATTCAGTAAAACGAAAACTTAGGCGTAGCACGTATCAATAGATTCATGCGACATGCTCGTTCAAAAATTCATGAAAAACTGCCTACAAACTTGGCAGTGAAGGAATAGAAGTAGAGCTAGTAATCTGGAATGGAATACACAGCATTTCTTATGAAAATTAGAATATGGACGGAAAGAAGGAATATAATAAATGACTAGAGATCGTTGAAGGTTAAGATTTGGAAGAATTTTATCATTTCTGTACCCTTGCAAACGCAATCAGAAAATAGGCCCGGAAATCGTATGAAATTGAATTAATGATAGCCTACTTTTTACTGTCAATCGGTATTAGCATTTTTCCTATTCCATTATTTTTCACATTAAATGACATCATATTCACTACATTTTAGCTTCTTCAACACTACTACGCGCTGTAGAGAAGTTTATGTAATGCTACAACGAAAAAGCGTTGTTTTTTGTATACCAGCATTATAAACGACCTCTTCTATTGAAAAAAGTTCATAATTGGTAATTTTACAGCATAATTAATGATATATTAGCATATTATGGTACTAATAATTGCGTCATTACAAGTTCAGACAATCGCATCGACAGAATCGTGGGTCGGTAACAATAAACGGAACAACCGATCACAAGTTTTCTCGCATACAAGCATATGTGAATTACCCAAGACGTCCAAAAAAAGTGTTTTGAAAAATTAAGTTTGATTTTCTTGTAAATTTATAATACTGTTATACAAAACATAGCGTATGCAACTTCTTTATAATGTTGCTTTATTACATTCGTACGAACTTGAAAAGTCGCTCTTAACATAGTTAACATAGTACTACTACAATAAAGCTTAACATTATAAACTAATGGCATGAACTACTATTTTTCGACAGAAGTGGTTTTTTGGTTCTGTTTCCGAAAACTAACCAAAAACTCGCCATATTGATATTCCCCACTCGATCTGGCTGATGTCTCGACCCTTAAACATTAAATTGGTATTTTGATGTTTGTAGGTGATTTAGATGAAGCCCCAATATGTTCCCAAAAAAGGACACTTTTTTTAAATTTTAAAGCAAAAATGTTTATATAAATGGCGCAGATACTATTTTCTTTAAATTATCTGAATTTTCGAAAATTCAAAAGTTAAAATTTTTAGCTTATTTTTACAACTACAACATTGAAGATGTTTCCTAACGAATTTTTTTCTTCAAATTATGTTCATTTGTTTCAAAATACGAGTTTTTATAAGTAAATTTGGGTGGAATAAACGCGATTTAACCTAGAAGTGCTACAACAGCACCTACTTTCAAGCATTATTGGAAATAAGTACATAATATTGAAATATTGTAATTTCCTCCATACTAAGTTTTAACTTCAGTTTTAGCTCAGTTTTAACCTCACTAAGTCCAATTGTAGCGAAGCGCCTGTGCCAGAAACAGTAATTATTTTTAACTTTTACAAATGAAACAAACATGAATAAATTGAACCCATCCCTTATTTACAGCACATTCAAAAACGAAAGAATAATATTCGAAAATATTACCAGCTTTCGGGCAATTTTGGGTAAAATATGGGTTGTTTTCAAAACCAAGCTTTTCTCAAAAACAGCTACGAAATTATATTTTAAACTTCTACGGATAATGCTACTGAATAGTATTAAGGTCACGCCATTGAGATTTCTCAAAAATTACACAAAGACATTTATTTAAATTTCTCTCGCTATGTTAACATTTTGTATGTACATTTTAGATGTATCTCACTGTTTAGTACATTTGTTAACACATAAACTTCAAAATATCTCTAATAATGGTTTTTCAAAAACCTATATGTTTTTGAGTATATGAGAACAAAATATGGCACATTTTCGAAAAAGATTTCTCCCAAAAACGGCAACTTTTTTCTTGGAAATCTCCATATTGGAAAAGAGTTCAATTCTCTTCGATATTCGGGAAGTCAGACTTCAATCAAGATATTTGGATCTCAATTTTTTAATGCAAATGTCTCTGATCACACAATATAAGAAATATTGATTTATAGTGTCTACGAAAAAATATAGTTTATACAGAAACGAAAAGTCGACCATTCAGTTAATTGAAATGTTCTCTCAATATTGCCATGTATCATTTTGTAAATATTCAGTAAAATGGGCATTTTTGTGCCTTCTCGCGCTTACAAATGGAAATTATTAGAATATTGGATAAAGAATGTGTTTATTTTAGGGATATCAAAAGTTTCAGATATTCAATGTAGACAATAAAATGCTTCAGATATAGAATATTGAAAGTATAATACAATTCTGTTATATTTGTTCTCGTAGTGTAGCACTTACGTAATGACACTATTTCAAGTGCATTACTTCAAAACGTTTTATAACTGTGAAATATGATAAGATATTAGCTACAGTTCCATTAATATCCATTACTTTTAAAATTAACAGTAATCTAAATGTATTTTTTAAATAAGCTATTTCTATCTTCGGAAACAATTTCATATTTCTTTAGGGGGCGAGGAAAGCAGATGTAATGAATATATTGAATATTGAAAAATTATTAATTAATATATTGAAAAATTGAACATGACCTTATTTCAAAACCTTTCTTTAAAGAACACATTTCATGAAGAAAAAATCTATATCTTCAATATTGTAGTTGTAGGAAGACGCCGAAAAAATCGCACTTTCGCAATTTTCGAAAAATCATGGATTTCAATTAAAATAGGACCTGCAGAATTCTGTATCGATTACGCTATCCGACAGCAAAAGTTTATCAAACGTTTGGATTCGCTTTTTGAAAAATTTGAAAATGACCCAGAAGCTCCATGTCCCCCCGAAAATTGAAATATCAGTTCAAAATTCAAGGTCATCAGTCAGATTGATAGAGAAAAATGTTGGTGAAAATTCTGCTAGTTTAGCCGATAGCGTTGTTCACAGACAGACAAACGGAAGGATAGACGTTTTGCCCTCAATTGAATTTTCGTTATCGAGGACCCACAAAACATGGACATACACGATTTTCTATACGCTACATTAAATAGCATACACTTCCCACTTAAAGTCGTGGTAACTGGGTCCTAGATCCTAGGCATTTTAGGATCCAATGGGTTCCCTAGACTTCCTCACAGGACATTGAAGTTTCTTTCCTGCATTTACTACCAGCAATACTAAATTGCTCCATCGTAATTTACAAATTGTGTGTAAAGTTTAATAGAGCTTCTGAGAGCAATTAACAAGATAGTCAGTAGATCGCCTCGAGACGTGATCCCCAGGGTCTTAAGGGCACTGACTGTAAATCTTGGCATAGCCCCAGAGGTTCCAATCACCACTGACAGCATTCTTGCGTTGGGTACTTCATGAAGTTGGGCTGCCAGGGGGATGACTGGTTGATATTTTACCATCTTTTCCTCCCCAGCTTTCAGAAGGCTAGACCCATTCTCGTGGCGGACAGTCACATCGACCACGTGGAACCCTTCCCGGCTTTTTATTACCAGGTCAGGTGTGAGTCTAACCACTTCAGCAACGGAGAAACTGGCTTCCGTGGACATCACAATGTCCGATTTCCGGAGCATCGTCCCTTCTATGAAGTTTTTGATCTCGTTATGACGCTTTATTCTTGCTGGATTCGTAAAAATGCACTGAC